GGGGGGAGTAGAGGGAGGGGGCTCTCTCACCTGGTCATTCACGGGGGGATCCAAGACTTGGGAAGGATCCACCAAAGAAGGGAAATCCATGGTGGCAGAAGGTCGAGGTTGTTGGGAAGATTTAAGTATATTCACAAAAGACTTGGGGCATTTAAAGAAGGTGTGCCCTTTCGCACCACAAAGGGAGCACTCACTTTCGTTTTGGCAAATTTTAGCCTTGTGGCCCAACTCACCACATTTCCAACATTTGACAGTGGGGCATTCTCTCGCCTGATGGTCTGGACCTTGGCAGATGAAACACCTCACCGATTGGCCCGGATAAATAATCCTGCCATTGTAGGGGCCCAACGAGATGGAGTTCGGAATAGAGATTATATGTCCAGCTTCGTCTCTACGCATCCGAACTTTGTATTTTCGCACTCCGTACCAGAATCCGAATTTATCCACTGGCTTGACTGGGGGTTGAAGAATCTCGCAGTACCTTTTAAGATATAGCTCGATATCTTGGTCTGGAATCCTTCCACTCCAGAACTTAACAACAAGAGTCACTACCTCTACCTGGACAGAAGACTCCACTTGCCAGTCTTTCCATTTCGGATGTAATGCGTTGGAAAAAGAGATCTCTAAGAAGCGACATAGAGGCGCCTCTTCGGTGAAACACAGCTCAAAATCCCATTTACTGGGGAGGGCAATGAAGGAGTATATGTGCTGCACATTCAGCCATGATGTTTGCAATATCAGCTCTTCAGCAACATAATCACGGGTCGGGAGGTCCCCGTCTCCGATGTACTTGAGTCTCACCCATAAATTGCTGAAGTTTGAAGCAAACGATAATGGGGCATACGGGGGCATGATTACATAACTAATAACCAATTACTCCAGTCTTTCCGCGACCACTCATTTTGACAGGTTCTTTTCTTCGTAGTATCGAGACTAAGAGAAACTGCATTGAACCGATCCACCACACCCACCCACACACGCAGGGCTTGGGGTGCAGGTATGTCACCAGGGTACAGGGGAGGCACTCCCCCTCTGCCCCCTTCTGGCCGCCTGTGCCTCAATTTTATTCTGCAACCTAGACATCCACATTACTCACACACTCTCACATAACACATACATATAGGGCCTTGGGGGTGGGCACGTTTTACAGCATCCA